AGCAGCAGTTCTACGGGGCGGATGACTGCGCCGAGATTTTCTACCGATTAAACATTATTTTTCGTGCTGGCCTCCTACGGTCGTCCTTCGTGCCCGGTGCCCGGTCTGTTTCTTTTTACATATGCTAATTCCACGCTCTCCACGTTTTTCCTGAAGCTTTTTCGCAACGCTCCGATGAATCCTACGCTCGACGCCGACGCCGACGTCGACGCCGACACCGACGAGTCTACCCCGTGCCTCCGAAGATTTCTCGTCCCCCCTTTACCCCGTCGATCGGCCCTCCCCCTTCGAACCGATCCGATCGAGCCTCTTTCTGCCTCGTTCCGCCTCGTTCTGAATCGCGTTTCCACTGTCGTAGTCCCCGATGATCTCTCCTTTCGTCCGGGGATCGTTCTTGCATGGATTAACGATGCAGTCCGTCTGCCTTTCAATTTAACGAGACCTTTTTAATACAGATAAGTGTACAAACGACAACGAGCTGATAAGTAGCAGCAGTCTTTGCCCGTTTAACGACGCTTTTTGCGTTGATACGCCGCCAGAATCGTCTTTGTGTCGTGCGACCTTCCATCGCGAGTTACGCGTCCTGGAGAATTCGTCGAAGATGTCACAAAAAACATCGTTTTATTGGATAATTGCATTTTAGATCGGTTGGGTTTCCGTTTGTCGCAAAACTGGTTCCCATAGAAACGATGGAAACTGTTGATTGTGACGAGCGTCTGTTCTCTAAAAATCATCGAGCAGTTTTATGTCCTGAACTTTGTAATCGTACAATTTCTCCGAATGAATTCTACGCGGTTATAAATATTATAAAACTTGTAGAATTTCTTCGGAACAATTGCACGATTCGATGAAAAAATGAACAGGTCTAGAAACGACGAACATGTTCAGAAGGAGATCGAACCGTCTTTAATGTTGGAGAGTATCTTAAAAGAAGGCGGGCTTATCATCCTCCGAGGATAAGGAAATGAATTTTTAAGCAGTTCGTGACTCCCAGGCCGGCGTTGAACGACGTTAGGCGGTTGTTCGGTCGATTGCTATGAATATTAAAAAAGAGAAAGTATCTCGCAAGTGGTCGGACTTCCGGCCGACGGCTCGCGATCCTTCTCGGCCGTCGATGCGAGCTCGCAACGTCGCGATTCGGCCAGTCAAAACGTCAGAATCTTAAAACACGACAAACACTCTGAAATAACGATCCAGAGCCACCCTCGCAGCTCGCCTCGCCGGCAAACAGGGGAGTTTTTAACACTGCATGATCCCTGGGCAAACTTAGGGTGTACGCGAGCGCTCTCGTGTCTTCTCGCGGTGTGCAAATCCTTGTCAGGCAAATGGCCGCTGACTATCGTCGGCCCATAAACGCGCCAGCATTATACATACTTTTCTTTTCGGCAGACACAAAAAATCCCGACCGGTCTTTTAGCGGGGAAAACGGTGAATAATCCGACGAATAATCTAAGCGTCGGAAAGTGAATGCGATTCCGACTATCCTGTTTCAATTGGCACGAACGTCTACACACACCGGGAGACTTTTTCAAAGATTCGGGTTGATTTTTTAAAACGGTGATTCCGTTGCACTGCTCTTTGTTTAAGGAGCTCGGAATTAACCGGTCTTGAGAACTCTTGGCCCGGATTATTCGTATAGAACAGACCGCGCATCTGAAATTATTTAACAGTTTTTCGACGACACAGCTCGCGACACCGGTAGGTTTAGTTTTTTAACCCTTCAAATTTGGACGAAGGCTCGAAAGAAAGCTTTTGCGATATTTAATTCCTGTGCCGAATTGCAAAAATGAATTTCTCTGAAATGTCTGCGACGCAGCGTATCGCCGAGGCAGCATTTTCGCATGAAAAAAAGAAATAGCGCGAGGGTGTCGTTCGCAATGAATTCGCAAATGGGTTGAGGAATAGCGCGAGATTCGGGACGAACCTCGGCAGCGGGGAACGAATAAATTTTCGGGCGCAGATTGATGCCTGGAAAGCCGCCGTTTAACACGCAACGAATTACGATTTCGGCGAGCGTAGGCAGGTGGAGGGCAACACAGACCTCAAGGGGGAGGATCGTTCTTCCAGCGAGTTACACATAATGCCTCATAAACACCCTCAAAACGCCTGCTATCACCCTCGATTCGCGCCCGTACCGCCATCACGGATCTGACACCGCACCGGCAATAAACTTTGCCCTCGTTAGCCCTACGCCCACGCCCTTCAAATCTCTCTGTTTCGAGCAGTTTTCCGCGATTTCGTCCCACACTTTTCCGTCAACCAGAAAACAACCTCGCGCCGTTCAATTTTTTCGATTGCTTTTCCAAGCATCTCGAACCACTTCGAATAAACGTTAAACCTTCGTCCCGCGATTTCTATTCACGGCAAAAGTGATTCGAGCTGCATCGTTTTTGACAATAAACTGGAATTTATTCGCATGTCCATATTTATTTCGACATTGAAACCTTTCCGACAGAAGATACGATCTTTTTCTCGATTTAAAATAAATTAATGACATTCGTATATAATTTAACATCTCCGGTTAATTTACTTCGTGAGATAGTTTAAATTGTAGTATATTAGAGTTCTTTGAAAGAAAAAGAAAATTTCTATAAAGTTTCTGGCAAGTAAAAATTCTATTTAGCGACTCGAAAATTATTTTAGACAGATAAACCGACGAATTTAGAACGAAAAAGAGCGCGAGTTGGAGTTCGCGAGAGGCTCCTGATTTCGTTGTCTAATTAAACGCGAAAGAAAATTTGTTGGAAAATACGTCAGCCGGAAAGAAAGGAGGGGAAAACAAAATTTCACTGCAGGAAGGAAGTGGCTGGAAACAGTTTGAAGGATTCAAGCATCAATCTAGAAGCTGCCACGCGATAGAACACGTTTCCCTCTGGCTGTGCTACGAGCCGGGCCGGAATATTTCGTTGGACGATGGCGGTAAGCCGGTTAAATGTCGTGGTTCACCGTAAAAACGCGGTCGTTTGCCGTCCAAGCCGCGCCACCATAAAATAAAACTACGCAACCGCGTGCATATACGCACTCCGACCCCATTATAAGCCGTATAACTTCACGGTCGTAGCGCGAGAACGCGCCTAAGTGCCGGCTTCCGTTTTACCACCGGCATTTTTCACTTCGCCCGAAAGAATTCTTCGACTCGTTTCGACGTGAAAAATCAGTTCGATTTTTAACACGAAATAAAATAGCATTCGAAACTGCTGTTACCATTTTTATCACTTTTGAGGGTAGTTTTGCGGAGAAACGTTCGGCGACTCGCAATTCCTCGTTAACCTTTATCTGCACGTTTCAGTTTCACAATTTATTTATTCCACGTCCTCTTTGTAAATTCCTGACACTGTTCGGAAGCTCTCTGCATCGGGATAAAACGTACGATTTCAATATTTATTTAACTTTATTTTCCAGGAAAAATTTTCTTCGATGTTTCCACCATGTTTACGATAAAAATAACCTCCCTGTAGACGAGGACCTTGTAAAATATTGAAAATAATTTTCTACAGGAATCGGAAAAATATTTGCCGATCTTTGGGGGTCTAAATAATTGCATTGTTTACTCGCATCTGCATGGGAACTCGATAAAACTATCGTCGTACTTTCTCAAAGAATTAACAACTGTGAATTTTAATAATCAGGGAAGAAACGTATCCTAATTTGAGTCGTCGTCCTAACGCTTCGAGTCGCTGTTGCTAAATTCGATCGCGAAGGATGAAATAGCGTGGAAGGGGGTTGCAGCCGCGTCGGTCAGCGATCCAGCAAGCATCTGAATCGTTCGGCAAAAATATCGCGAAAAGGTGGAACAACGAAATCGCGCGTGACAAGCGGCCCGCGTATATTTCTGCGCGGGGGTGTGGGTTTTCGCGTTTAGCGTCCCCGACATTAACATATTCCGGCCGATTCAGGCCAAACATCGACGCGGCGGCGCCACTCGTTCAACCCCCTTACTTCCGGCACATTTGTGTTTTGTTTCCAGCGAACGCACCCCGCGCACATTGCCGTTTTGCTCGCGCGAACAGTTGGCCGCGTTTCCCGCGGCAGAAAAAGGAGAAAGGGAAGACATTTAGTCGAAAGCGATTGCAGGGGTGGCCCAGGACGATGGGGGATGTTTGCCGTGCGACACCCAGGACCCAGGACTTTCTGTTTCTCTATTGATTCATCCCTCGAAACAAATTCCATTTGCGGGCGAACCTCCGCGACGTCGAATTCCGAAAAACTGTTTTCGTTGACGGGATTTGCAAAATCTTTGCTCCGTGCAGCGGATATTGTGTCAGGGGATGATTCGACAGAGTAACGTGGTAACCAGGGGTAGCGCAAACGTGGCCAAAAATATAGAGCAAACTCGTTCGAAGCTCGGAGAATCTATTTGAAATTAAATCGAGCCGGTCGATTGAAATTGCGAAGAGAAAATTTGTTGAATATCGTACGAGGATGTTTCGCGTAATTGTTAAATTTCTGTGGAGCATGCTTCTAGAATTTTTGCTATATCGTACAACAATTTTGTGAATTGATATTTCGGAATATACCTCGTTCAGTTCTGTCAAATTAATTAATATTTTGCGGACGCATCGACCGACCTTTTATTCGCACGTCGAGGCGTTAAAGAATGGTCTTCGTATCGAGTCAGCCCTTCGATCAGCCTTAAAACATCGGTAAAACCGACCCAACGAATTTCTCAAGAATCCAGATAATTATCTACCGCGATAGAATCGCGTTTAACAGTGGCTGACGCAGTTCCACCCCCGGATCGTGATCTAAAATTTCGACCACGGTGTCCGAGCATTCCGAGGTAGCGCGAGCATCTCTTAGCGAGTCGGTCGGATTGATTCTGAATAATAGAGGGCCGCGAAACCGAGGAAACTCGGCTCCACGGTTTCTAATACCGGGACCAGCCGCCAGAAAACGAACAGCCACCCCCGCCGGGAGCACCTGGCCATTTCGTTTTACCACCGGGCGATAATTCCAGCCGCGCACTGGCCCCGTTTTCTCACTTCCGATTTTCGTTCCAGGGAAAAGTTTCACCCTGACGATCATGCTGCAGACCTCGCCGCCCCAGGTAGCCACGCTGTCCAAAGCGATCAAGGTCACCGTCGACGGACCCAGGGAACCGAGGTCCAAGACAAGTGAGTGGTCGTTACCAACCGTAGGTAAGGCGACGCCTAACTTTCTAATTACTTTCGACACCAAGAGTCTAGAAGTTGCGAAATTTTCGCAACTACAGTCTTCGCTCTTGATCCGAGGCTATCGGGCGATTCTGGGACCAGAGAACAGATCGAAGAGACGTTTCGAACCGATCTCTCGCCGGTTAAATTCGAAGAGTAGCGGAATTTTTTGGAGATCGTCGACTCTGCCGACCAGAATCGCCGCGATCGTTGCATTCTCCCATGATCAGCATTGATTTTAGGGTAAAGTGGAGACGGAGCGCGGGGAGAACGAAGCGATTTTATCACTGATATTAGACCCATTCTTTGCAGGACACCAGGCCTTTCATCCGTTCCATTTCGGGCCCCGGCCGTTTCCCTTCGGCCATCCTCAGGATCCGCTGGGATTCAAGCTGTCCGGTAAGTGGCCCCGGATCGTCTCCGGTCGACTATCTTTCCCGAGTTCGTCTCCCTGGTCCGGCGAACCTTCGGTTTCCTAGGACGTGTCCTACGGTTTCCTACGGTGTCCTACGGCTTCCTACGGTCGCGAGTCGTCGGGTAACTAAGTTTGCAAGCCCACCCCTCGTCGCCTATCCCCCATGGAAGCAGAGGCCGCCTTTCACATCCTCGCCAGGGTCGGCTCGGCGCGGCGCGTCGCGCGCGCTCTGGCTTCGTGGCTACGAAGGGTGTCAAAATTGAGCGTCGGCAGGCACCGACTCAAAATTGGGTTTTGCCACCGGGCGTCTAAGTGGAGAAGACTCTGATTAAACCCCGGGCGACGACGCGGCGCGGCGAGGCGGCTCTCTCTCCGCCTTTTCGTTTGCCGACGCGCGACGCTTCTACTTACGCTCACTCTTCGCGGAAACTTTGGCTCGCTGTTCGCCGTTCGCCTGGCTGACGGCGAAATTCCGGACTTTCCTCGACGACACGCGTGTCGTTAACAGTCTAGATATCGACGATGATCGGCAGGCGTGTCTCAACACCCTTTCCCACCCCCGAAATAGTCTAACTGTAATTCTCGGATCCGAAGATTCGGAGATGTCGATCGCTTTCGTTCTTTTTACCGAATGTTTAATCGTTTCGGCGATGGAAAATTGTTTATCCAGGCAGCGTGAAAAGGTTCTCCGGTGGTTCAGGAATTTTTAGGAGCCGCACCAGAGATCGGAAGATCCGCGAATTATATTTTTCTTCTTAGAAAATTGTCGAACCGACGTCGAAAGTCATCGATCTCGGAACAGTAATTTTCCTCGATGTCGGACTACAGTGATGTCTCTCTAATTGACGCTCAGATTGTCCACAAAAGTGGGCAATTTGGGAAGAGGAGATACGATTATTCGATCCTCGCGGTTTATTTTTATAGTCACGAATTGTCAACGACTAGAAAAACGAGCTGCAGGGCTCGTATAATCGTATCTCCTCTTCCCAAATTGTCCATTTTTCTGCGCAATCCGAACGTCAGTTAGGGAGACATTACTGTAATGGCCCGGCCTGCGCAGCTTGCCGCTGAAAATTCATCGAATCCAGAAAAGCTGCAACATTTTTCCGGGCGACGAACCATCGACGAACGGTCGTGACGCGGGCTGTGATCGACCCGCAAGTCCCGCAGAATTCGAATTTCCATCCGGGGGCCGGTCCAGGAGCCAAAAACCACCCCCGAAATCCGGGAAGGTTCTATTTCTATCAAATCACGGTAACAGACTGTCGTCGCCGGTCCGCGTCGAGCAGCGAGCGAATTTCCAAAGGGTTTTTCCGTAGCATCGACAGGCTAGTTCGGCGGCACGGATTCCAATTCAAATTCGTTCGGAAGCTCGAAATTTTGATGGGACTAGCCTCGAGCAGCGAGGGTCGGGTACTGATACTGGTGCACCGACAGTGTATTGTTTCGGCATGATAAGCGGCTTAACGGAGCTTCTCTCCCTGCCGAGCCGCTCGGCCCCCGATCTCCCCCGCCCCCTCTGCCGGGGCGGCGGTGTGGAGTAGCAGTCCTGCCGTCGATTTCTCGTCCCATCCTACGGTCACCCCCTTTTTCCGACCGGCCTGTCGACCCCCCGTCGACCCCCTGCCGCCCCATCGCGCCCCATCCCCCGTGGTCTACTCAATCAAGGACCAACGGTGCCGCGCCCGGCGGCAGGCTCTCTTCTCCGACGACTTCGCCTCGTTCTTTCCTTCGGATTTTCATCGTAATTTCAGCTAACGAGGACGGACGCAACAATTTCCGAGCCGGCTGCATAAGATTGTTTCACGGTGATCGCGAGCGGAAGCGCCGCAGCCTCCGCCGTCGCGTCACGCGGCCGTGCAACTACGGCAAATTCAATTATAACGGAACAAGAGTTTGCTGTTCCGCGTCTAGCCGACACCCCTGCGGCCAAAGAATCAGCCCTGTTCGACGCCGCCTCGATTATTCGACTCGATCCTTTTCGTTCGAGAACGTTTTCCTCCTCGCTCGGGTTCGCGATTTTTGGTCGTCCGACGTACGTTGCAGTTGAAGGGTGTTTGGGAGCACCGATGTGTAGGTATTCCAGATGATGTAAGCGCTCAAAAGTCCGCGCTTAGAAGCTCCTCACTATCGTTATTCCTCATAAACAGCCACCTGATCCGCTCGCCGCTCGCAAAGTCGCTTGATCTACTCCGCATTATGCAGCGAACTCTGAGCTGTTCCTCGGCGACACTTCAGAGATACAACGTTCAACCTACGGGATCTCCGGCCCGCTGTCAGTTCGCAATTTTCGTTTGTACGAACTGCGAATCCGTCGGAGCGAACGCTGCAAAATGATTTAATATACTCGCATTGTCGGATCGTTGAAAATAATTAAACGGATAGCTTACCTGCGACGTTACCAGAAACGTTGAAAATATTTTTCCTCCCGCCACAAATCATCGTAATAAAGGTTGCAGAAACTACCCCCTCGAACGTTTCGACTGCGCCAACGTGGCGAGAAATGATTTCTCACATTTTTCCGGCACAGAAAAAAAATCGTTGAAACCTTTTACCATCCACCAGTGTTGATCCGGTAGTACGAGTCTCATCAATTATCCATGCCGGGACACATTCTGCAGACTGGCAGTAACCACCCCTGCGAGAAGATGTTCGATTGGCCGTCAACGGCGACACGTGCACGCGTGAAACTGGGTCGTGCACGTTGTCGCAGTCGCGACCGACATCACCCGCATATCGATCGGTTTATTCCGAGGGTTGTCCAGCAGTTTTTCAACCCTTTCGTTGGTAGTTCGTCGGTCGGCGCACAGGTTGCGCCTCCGTCCAGTTCGCGGTGGGGTCAGTCGGCCAGCTTTTGAACTTCCACCGCCCATACGCTGGAGCCTCTTCGGTATCGCTGCGCGGATAAAGACGCGTTTCAAGAGCTGGTTTATTAGATATCTTCGCCGGTGGGGTTGATAAGGAGCCGGCGAGGGTGTAAGGGAAAACTGCGAGAGACGGCTGGCTACCCGAGCAGGGGTTGTTAAGGTGCCCATTGAGGTGTAACTAGGGGGATGTTATTAAATTTCGTTCGGGCCTACCTCGAGGGGCCGCCCTCCTCAATTTTATGGTCTACCCCGAGGACCTCGAAGTCCGGCACATTGGCTTCTGTTCGACCACTTTGGTCGCATTGTTCTGCATGCGCGGAGCTGCGAATCTTGATGCACTGTGTCGCCGAATCGATTGTTCGATCAGGAATATTTTTACAATTTTTACACGAGCACGGAAAATAAAATATAAGGGTTGCAGAATATTTTCTTTCTATTCTAGCAGGTTACGGGGTTGCAAAATATTTTGCTCGATACCACTGCATAGAGATATCTTCTTGATCTTTTTTAGTTTTTTTTTTTTTAATTATTTAATATCTAGAGAATTGTTTTTATACGGTATGGAAATAGTTTAGTATTTATCTGCGATCGACACGGGGCGAGCTCTTATGTTTTGCATCCATCAACGCCACTCCTCCGCGCTATCTGCTCGTCTTCGGGAATCCATTTGCATATAGGAGAAAAGTTGAAAAGGAGGAATGCTCGTCGGCAGGACGGGAATTAATGTATCCGGTGACTGGCAACAGGCGAAAGATCCTGGCTGAGATTGTCCAGGAGCGAAAACACCCTGATCACGTGCCTCCCGAGAGGCGGTCTTTGTCAGTCTGGCTAAGGGGATGAAAAATCGCGAGAGCCAGGAGATTCGAGTTAACAAGAACAGCTCGCGCAGCTCGATTCCTGCCGCCCCCCTCTTCGACCCCCTTGATTCCACCCTCCAGTGTCAATTAACCGCCTGCCGGTGGTCGGGGGAGCACCGGAAAAATCGCAACCCCTGTTTCAATAAGGTGGCCTTTACCTCATTTGGGGGAGATTGTTAGGAACGTTCCGTTTAAAACTGTCGTTTCGTTCTTGGATCGTTTCGCAGTACATTCGAGAACTTTTTTCCCTTGAAAGGCCAGCCCTTCGTTCTCCTCCGCCAATCTTTTTTAAGTGGATTATTATAAACTCTCGGTACGAAACAATTTATTCAATATCCGGTCGGTGCCCGAATCAATAATCAGCGTTGAACAACGAGTATGCAATTTTCAGCGTCGAATATCTGTGTTGCAAAGGGTTGTTTGATCGAGGGTATATATTCGCGAAAGGAACCCCCGAAGGCTAGAAAAATTAATGAATAATATTTCTTTGAGATCCTCGCGGACGGTAGGGTTCGTGCGGGCTGGGATGGTCGAGGGGGTGGTTTTCAAAGAAGTCGAGTCCTTCGGTGGTTCGTAAAGGGCCTTTTCACGTACACGGAAAACCGAGTAACCCTTCAGGAGTGCGGTGCCGGATCCTTAAAGGTTCCCTTTTTAAGGGTTGTCCACCCCTGCGTCAAATCACGGGCGGATCCTTTAAATTCGCGTCACATTTCACCCTCCTGCGTGTCTTGCAAGGGCGTCCCCGGGTGTCCCCGTCTTTTAATCAGACCCGGTGACCAGAACCTTTCGGCGGAGGCGACGGTAACTAATGATACCCTGCGCCGTTCTTCTTCGTCCCCCCACTCGCGCCCTCGTAGCGTCGTCTTCCCTGCTATCGGTGACACAAAAACCCATAAAGACGCAGGGGGGTTGGATCAATTCGGCGAATTTACACGGCGGCGGCGGCATTGATTTGTAATTCCTTCCTTCTATCGATTTCCATTAAACCGGGGGGGATGCGGAGGGTCCGTCAAATTAACTCCGTCCCCGAAAATAAATAAAAATCCCCGGAGCACGCGCCAGCCTCCGAACGTTCTAAAACGATTCGCAAATGTTTTCGAAAAAAAATCTAAGGACGCCACGGGTCGGGATTCGACGCGACGAAAGTCGAAGGCGAAACCCGTCAATTTTTAATCCCGCCCACGCAATCGTCTCGGGGGGAAATAAAATTGGAATTACACGGGGACGTGACCCGGGGAGAATAGCCGGCGTACAATGAGCGTTTCGAAAAGTTCGTCGTTTTTATCCGCGTTCGTAACTTCAAAGAGGATGCAAGCGTAAATAAGAGAAGGAAAAGGTCGTAGGTGGGAGGGAGAGCGGCCGAGAGACGGCCGGCAGAAGGAAGGGAGGAAACGCGGTGATGCGAGAGAGAGCGAGAGCGAGAAAGAGAGAGAGAGAGAGAGAGAGGGAAAGAGGGAGCAAGAGAGACAGCAATTTTCTCGTCCTTTCTCGAAATATCTCCTCGTAGAGCTTAGATCGGTGCCAGGGACCTTTCCAGGGTGGCATTTTAGGGGTTGCTGCGACGCGATAATGAGAACGGGCGCAAAGGGTGGGTGTGCAAAGACATCCTACCGTCGGTAGTGAGAGGCTAGAACGTGGGAAAGGGGGATGAGGTCGGTTCGAGGCACCCAGAGCACCGAGCGGGGGCTGCCGGAGAGGAACGGGGGGTGGTTTTAGAGAAGAAGCTGAAAAGAGGGAGAGGGAGAGGGTTTCGCGCTAGCTGGCTCCACAAGGGTTAACGCCTTAGGAGTAAGAAGGGCGTTTTAACTCCTGTTTTGCATAGATTTGAATAGATAAGGAGGACAGGAAAATACGCGAATTAATTTATTATGTATCTCTGGCTGCCGAGCGGAGGGGTTTTAAGGGAGCAACCCCCGAACGACCGGCTTTACTCTTTACTGTCGGAGGCGCCCGTCCGACTTTAGCCCAACGTCTTTAAACGCCCCTTAACTTGCCCTGCCGACGGCCCTCTTCTAGGCGTGACAGACGCGATCTCCCTCTCGTTCTCGCTCTCCTTCTCCTCCTTCACCGTCTCTTTCTCATTCTCTTTTTCGTTCTACAACCCTCTCCGTTCCGCGCGAAACAAAGGAGTCTTCAGGCTTCTGTTTATTCTCTTGCCAAACATTTTTCCGTCAACGAAAACACATGCTAAATCTGGTAGTCGCGGCTCTTCTCACGGCTGTTCCTAAAAATCTACGCGATCGTTCGACCCAATTCGAAGCCTGTTCGCAGATTTTTCTATCGTTTGTTCATCGAGGCTTCGGAATGTCAAATTATGCCACAAATATAGAACATCCGATACACGATACATCCGTCGATTTCAATGAAAATCTCGCCTTCCTTTCGAAGAAGGATCGAACAGGAAAGCGACCGCTAATTTTTGCGTGCACGCGTGATTTCTTTGGGTATATTCTGGCGCGCGAGCGTGTAATTAATTGTGACAGTCTTTCGGCAGGATTCATAATTAAATGTGTCACGGGTCGGGGCGTAACATTGACACAGGCGGAGCGCGTCGCGGCCAGAATAACCTAGCACATTTTGAGCATGCTGCTCGATAATACATCATCCCTTAAAGCTTCGGTGCCCCGGCGGAAGGCACACATAAAGGCAACTAACCCTACGGCCGTAACGTTTAAGCTTAACATTTCTCACCCCTTAAAGGGTAGCGGCTCCTTGAACCCTTTCAGCTCTCTACAGGCGTTCCGTCTCTTTCCCACCGACTCTTTCAGAGATCTCGCCAGGTTCTCCCCCTCATTAGTCTTCATTTGTTTTCGGAATTATCGCCCGGCGCGGCGTCCCGACCCCGTCCCGGAACGCGAGAGCACCGTAAGAGGGTGCCGGGCGTTTTGGGGGTTTATTAAATTGAAAGTGTGTTACGAGCCGCTGTCAAACGCCGAAATCATTCCCCGCCGAGCCGCCGATGCAACCGGCAACCCCTTGAAAGCTAAATGCCTCGACGACGATAACTCCGAGAAACGAATATCACCGTGAAACAAGGAGCACGGCGATAGCTTTGATATGAGGGATTCTTTCGATGCGCGGGAGAGAAGGGGGGGGTGAAAAATCGCCGGCGGATTCCAGCAGCCCCGACAAAGTCCGCGCTAACGGCGCATCAGGTACACGGAAACCCTTTGGCTCCTTAAGCTCGCAGGCAGCGCAGCTTTCGCGCGCCTCTTATCGTTTTCTTAATCCCCTCATAAAGTAGCTGCAGCTACAAGCTTTCTCTCGCCCGGTCCCGTGGCACCCCCGTGGCACCCCGCATCGAGCACCCCCTTTCTTTCGGCATGCGAGCTACCAGCTGGGCTGCTCGCCGTACCACGCCGGTGTGGTAGAACGCGAGATAGTGGTGTCCTCTCTGGCAAGCTCGGCTTAAAGAGAGCTTAAAAATCACCCCTTCGTCCCCTACCGAGCTTTTTCCGTTCCCACCGGTGCTCCCGGCCGGATCGGTGGGGATGCCGGCTGGTCCAATCACGGCGAGCCGTGCGGCGAGCCGTGCGGCGAGCCGCCACGCCCACGTTCCAGTGACCGGACCAGCATCCCCACCGCCTCGCCGCCAACCTCCCCTATCTTCTTCGCCCCGCCGCGATCCCCACCCCCGCAGTCGGTGGCTTCGGAGCTTTCACGGAATTTTTAAACTGCCCCGCACAGATGACGGTATAATCTGCTATTGATCAAGGTGTTTCGAAAAACCGATACCATACCGATGACTACGGCTTCACTTTTACTCCTTTCTTTACTACCCTCTCCCGGCCCCGAGGGATGAAACCGTGGGGTGAGGGGGGTGGGGGCGGAACTCGTTTCTCCGCGGTTTCGTAACTTCGCAGTTCGGCTGGTTCTTTTCTTCCCCGCGGTTATTAGAAATTCGCCGGTTTCTTTTCAGAGGGGGAGGGGGCGGGTGCGGAGATACTTTCGCCAACGGATCGGAAAGTCTCGCGGGTTCTTCGCAACGGCGTTTTACCCGTTTCGAAATTTCGTTTCCCGGACAAAGAACCGATGGCACAGCGGTCGCCGACCACTGTAATCGCGCTCGAACAGATTAATTCTTCGGATGTCGTGGATTTAATTGCATACCTGCACACACACGGGCCGACCCTTTCCGCCCCGTGGCCCCGCGGTATTGGCCACCCACTGAAAAAAGATGATCGATCGTCCCTCTATTCTCTATTGGATAAATTTAACTGTCCATCCACGTCAAACGAAAGCTCCGTCAAAGGGAAACGCTTTCTGTTGCTACGTCTGTCACCCGATCATCGTTTGTCCGTCTGACGTTGTACGGTCGTTTGCGAAACCCGCTTCCCGATGGCCAGTTTTTTTCTAATGAACATTCCGGGCTTGTTTATCGCGGGGCTTGACCGCGTGCTCGTTTCCGGATCACGTGCCGCCCGCGACTGTCACTTTGATCGACTTCTCCTTGACCCTCTGTTGGCTGGCGAATCTCCAGAACAGTGGGAAAATTATTTTCTTCTTAAGTAGAATAAAATGGGTCGGAGCAGACCAGAATGTAACAAAATAAAATCAATTAGAATGAAATGGAATGAAATATAATGGAATAGAATGAGATAAAATGGAATAGAATGAAATAGAATGGAGTAGGTTGAGATACGATGAAATAGGATGAAACAGAATGGAATAAAATGAAATAGAATGGAATAGAATGAAGTACAATAAAATAGAATCAAACAGGTTTTTAATGTTAGCGCCTATAGTCACTGTAGATGCGAAACAAACCAAAACTATGTTAAATTCTACCAAGGATTTGTTTCGAGATAGATCCACGTAGATTGTCCGACTAGTGACAAACCTGTTCTACTTACCGCATCGCGTACTCCAACCTGTATCCAACCCTTACCATACCAAACGATCGTTCTTTTAATATGGTTACGTATCGCGCAGCTTAGACAACAGAAGCGCGTGCATCCAAATTGTTTTCTTCCTTTTCCGTAGTCCTGAAATAATACCTAGACGACAGTTTGCAATCCGAAGGGACGCGTCCCTCCCAAAAATTTGTCCCGATATTCCTTCCTCGACCGAAAACGAAATTTCCTTCCGAAGGTATCGTCCCGATTGGTCCCTCGGTTATTCAAAGTCTTAGGCGGCTCGGAAGCCGAGCTACCTGACAGACATAATTTCAGATCTGTTCGATTGCACAGGCTTGCAACACCTGGGCCTGGAGCAAGGAGCCAGCCAAGGGTGGGGTGGACTGCCTCGAGGGTCTCTGCCACCGCACTGTCTTCCGCCGCCTCCCGGTCACCATTCGCATACACATCCTCCTGCAGCTGGTGCGTCGGCCTTCAATCCCTTCCACCACAGCATCGAGCAGAGATCTCCCAGACTGCCTGGACCTAACACCGGTAAGAGCCTAACTTTCTTCCTCGGTATCTCGAAGAGTCGATATAGACCAGAAACCTTCTCTCTCAACCCTTTGCTCTGCGAAATCCTTCGCAAATTAGTCCCCCTTCCTCGTTGATAACTTTCTGAAAAAAACGAAAATTCATACTTATTACGATATACGCTTTTATTTATCCTAACTTAAATCGAACAGAGAGCTCAGAAGTCTCAGAAGTGCAAACATTAGTGCAAATAAAACATTGCTTTACAAACTAAAGCTTCCAACGAAAAGATAATTCCCTGGTTTTAGAAACATCTCCGAACATCCAGATATTTTCGGAGACACAAGTCGAAGCATTTTCCTCCCTTTGTTGTCACATGATGCGATCGCTGATAAATGGACAGGCGGTGCGTTCGTTAACGGGAGACTGTGAATCTTTTTTAAAGAGTCGTCCAGAAACGATCTGGGTCCAATCAGCGTCTCCGTGAGGGAGGTGACGCCGACCTCGTCACCTGGCAATTCTGGACCAGGTTTGCTCACGACGGCCACCGTCGCGGCGCCCACCCCACCGGCCGAGACCACCACCACCACCACCACGACGACACCCAGCCCCTCCGGACATCACTCTCATTTCCAAGGTACTGTCCCCCGTTCCTTTTCTCTTCTCGCAATCTTACGCCGGAACCGGATTGCGGATTTTTGCCTCCTCCGTTGCCTGAAATCCAGAGTAACGAACCGTTCGTTGCCATTCTCGATTCGTTTCGTTGAAAAATATGAAAACGTTAAGAAACCTAAAACACCTCCTGCACCGACGATAAAATAACGACGAACAGTCGTTCGAACGCTCGACCAACGAAACCCATCGGATCCTGAAAATCCACGGAAGAACCAACCGATCCTCTTATCACCCGACCAAGCTTCCTCGGTTCTGCTCCTCCGTCACTGATCAACGAGAAAACTGACTGTCGCGTTCTAACAACAGGTCTGCACCTCCTGGGAGCCACAGGGTCCATCTTCGGCTCGATATTCGCTCCGCTGTTGCCGCAATCGTCTTGGCTCTACAACCCTCTGTACCACACGCAACAGTACATGCTGGAGCCGGAATGGCACGCTCTGGCGTTGAGAATGGCTCAGCAGCGGTTGCAGAGGCCGGACCAGGCCAGGCTGGAGGAGCTGAGGAAGCTCCGCAGCACCAGCAACAGCCCCGAGACTGGTCTGAAAGAAGAGAAACAGCGGGACGGCGACGACCAGGACGTGCTACGAAGATCGGGACTGGACAGCCCCGACGGAAGCATAGAGGTGGACGACAGGAACGAGTACGAGCAGACGAGGGACAGGGTGAGGAGCGACGACTCGCTTCCCGAGCAGGATTCCCCGAGGATCTCTCCCGCGAGGAGCGACGCCGAGGACGGGACGAACGACGCGTCGTTCCAGAACTCTGTTCACCTGCGGCCCAGCATGGAGAACTCGAACGATCAGGAGACGACCACCAGCGACGATCAGCTCCCGCGGAGAGATCTGTCCGTGAAGATCCGTCTCGAGGGCACCGTGGACCTCAGCACGAAGCGAGGTCAGGACAAGGAGAACGTTGGACAAGATCTGACCACCAGGAAGAAGGACGACGACACCGACGTCGAAAGGGACGCCGTCAGACCGAGAAGAGAGAGGACGCCCAAGCCAAGACACGTCTGGAGACCTTATTAAGGGTCGTAGAACCGTCCGGGCGCACCTGGACTCGGCACGAATCTTCCGAGACGAGTCTTCTTCCGACCAGACGCGTCTCCGCGGATCCTCTCACGGTCTCGTTCGCGCTTGTCCCAACCTAGGTGGTCCGGTCGATTTCCGTATTCGAATGTACAGCGCCCTCGTTCAGGGTTAGCGACCGCGAATGCTTAGCGCCTGGTCCTTTGGCTGGGACCTATCAAGGACTCGAGGACTAACCAGGGTTTTACGTTCGTATAGTATGTAAATATAAGCGGCGTCCAATTATTACCTAGGCTAAACGTACGTACGCGTTGAAACGCCGACCTGACATCGTCGTTCAGCGACGATCCTCGTCGCATCGGGCCGACAACGAGGAGATTTTATGAGAAACGAGGAGCGATCGAGGAGCCTGTGCGATGGGAATCGTTGGCCACTTCCCGACGAGAAACTGCGAACCGTTGTAAATACCACAAGTCCTAAAGGATTCCAAGCCCCGGTCGAGTCATGCCTCCGGGTTGATCCTCTCTTTTTGTTTTTGTACGAGGAGATACGAGCGATCGAGGACGCGACGTGCTCGATCGCGCGGGCGTGACCGATCCTGGGAGAACGAAATCTTTCACTGTTTAAGTACGTCGTCAAATAAAGTAATATCATCCGTTCCATCAATGACCATCTTCTTACGCAGGCGAATCCGGGATCCGTGGATCTTAATATCGCTGTAAGTACCACCGTCGAGAATTTTGTGTCGGCTTGTTTTCGTTGGCGAACGTCTATTGTTTTTTTTTTATCGAGATCGCGTGCAAAATTCTGTCGAACGTCGCCGACCGAAGGTTCGCGACAATTGATCGACCATATTTTGTGGTTTCGTTTTGTTCCGCGATTTTGTTCAGACCGCGAAGCGACGCATGCAGTTAACAACGATATCATTTTTCTACGAAGTCCGCCTAATTATTTTAGCAACGATGCGAACAGAGAAATTGCTCGATGAAATGTTCGGTTCCACAAGCATTTCCGAAAGCCGCTGTTCCACGAAATTAGGAAAAATCGCAGCGATTGGGGAGGCAGAGTTCGCAGAGCCGGAAAATCGGTAAGGAATCGTCGGTCCGGGGGGGAAGTATTTCGGAAAATGGTCCGGACCTCCGTTATGGAGGATCGTGGACCGCCAAGGGAAGTCGGGGACGAGTGCGAACTAACCCAACCTAATCCGGACAGACGAGATGCAGCAGATTCAATAATTCGCCGCGATTGCAATCGAGAGGGATGCACCGCACGCAAAAACGGGCAGGCCCGATATCCGCTCGGTGAAAAGGTCCGCGTGATTGATGGGACACACAAAGCGCCCCCCTGTTCCCCTTTTCGCCTCTGTGCCCCCTCTGCGTTTTCCACCCACACCCCTCGCCGGCGCTCGGTCATGCAGTTGCCTATCACCGCGGCCGTTCGGTCGCGTCCCTGAAATCGAGATAAAAAGACCGCAAAACAATTTTCTACATTATTTTCCGATGCGCGGCCGGTCAAATGAGCAATAATACCACCGGGGGTCGCGTCTCCATGAATCTTTCGGGGCCGATCCATTCACACGGTCCGCTTGCTCACCGCTCGCCCGGTGAAAATGCGACACGCCGCTAATTACGACCGGTAAACATTCCGCGCGTTATCGGCCGATCCGAAAGGATACCAAAAATTCACGCGGCGACGCTGTAATTCGGGCTTGCGAATTTTCGTCGCTGGATTGCACTCTTTAATTGCCGTTATTATTACGTTCGTTGGCTTTTACCGTACCAAACTGTCGAACGATTTGTTTTCGTTCGTTCCAGAATTCGATTATGATTTTTTATCGTTCCCCAAAGTTTAGCAAACATAGGTTCGGCTTAAACGACGCTGCGCGGACCACGTTTATTTATTTATCGACAATGCGGAGCTGGATCAATTTTAGCGTGTTCGTAAATTCATATAATTCTCAATATTTAACCAGTTTACCTTTTTTAAATTTATATTCAGTTTCCGAATAATTTATCGTTCGAAGACGCTAATATCTATCTTTCGAGGGACGCGAAAGCAATAAAAATTTCTCAACGGGTCAATGTAAAAAAATCGATCGACCGAACGTTCTTATTTATATTAATCTTCGATGTAAAAATTAAATTTACTTCAACGTTCGACTTTCAAAGGATAAATCGATCCAGCAACCCAGCGAAAAAGCCGCGAATCGCGCGACAGAACGAAACGTCTAATTAAACGATTAGCAAACAGCTTGAGAAAATGATCCGACGAAGGATCTAATAAAGCGGAAGATTTAATTCGATCGAGAGCGGCGCACGGATTCAAAATCCGCACGGGTAAAAGCGGGACAAGACGAGGATCGAGGGTGTCCCGATCGCTAAAAGAGATAAAAACCGTACCAGTTCAACGATCTCCACCGGCGTGTCCGGCGTTTCTCTTTTTTTTTCCCTCCCCGTTGAAACCCGTACACGTCCATGCTGGTCGGGTTATCGCAACAAACTACCCCAATGACGACACGATTAAAATTTCACGGGGGTTGCGTGGCTCGGGCGTGTTCTCTCTCGGAACAAACCGTCTCTGTATGATCCCTCTCTACACCGTGACTGCCCCCGTCCATCGAGCCCACCGCCCCAGACCACCTTTCGGCCCCCGCTCATCCCCGCCGGGTGATTGGTACGCGACCGCAGCCACCCCCGCCTTTTTAATACACCCGCACCTGCATACTCTACACCCGCAACCGGTGAGCTGCTACTGTATATGCGAGAGGGTGCATCCGCGTCACCCCCGCTTCCGCCCCTCGTCGGCCCTCTAAACGATTCCTCTCTCTCCGTTCTCGTTGCATCGTTCGTCACGAAACTGCGCTGCCCCTGCTCCCACTTTCTCCTTCTCTCTCTCTCTCTCTCTCTTTTTCACTTTCTCTCTCCCTCTCTCTCGCTTTCGGCTTCTCCGTCTCTCTGTTTGTCCTATCGGGCCGGTCCTCTCGTTCCACGTCAACGTCAACGGTGCACGTCGAGTGATTCATCGATCGAACTCGTATTCGTGTCCCCGGCTCTCGTTCATCCCCCCAAAATAGCGACAAAGACTGGCCCTCTCTCCTCCTGGCGTGTGCGGCTCGTATGAAGCCATGCCCGAAAACCGCCGCCACGGCGCGGAGCGGAGCGGCGCGGACGCGGACACGAACGCGGACGCGGACGCGGAGCAGAGCGGAGCGGCGAGGCGAGGCGCGGATCGGCGTCCGGCACAGAAGCCAGAGAGACGGAAAATGCATTTCCACAGGATGATTGGGGCCGGTTCTTTCAATTCAAGCGGTGGCGGCCTGTGGCTCGATCTCTTTTTCACCGATCTCCCGATGGAATCGCTCGACCGTGGCCACCCCCCGCGCCCTCCACACCCCCGGACAGCCACCCCCGAATCACTCCCTCGTCGCACTCTCCGTCGCGGTTTGCGGACTCTCTCCTTCACGATACAAGCACCCATTTCCAGCGGCGGGAACCGTGTAAGATTGCGATTATAGGGGATGCTTGGCACAGGGACTGATTTCGAGAGCAGCGATCCAGAGATCGATCGCTCGATCTACCGCGCGTACAGCGAGAATCGGTAATTCGATGGAACGATCGATGAGATATTTATTTCGGGGTGGCGATTCGGAAATCGGGGCTATTGATTGGAGATCGGAGAAATTTTAGTCCTTTGTTCGGACTTGATTGGAGATCTTCGTCAATTGTTCTCCTTTCCTAATCGTTTTAAAATACAGTAACGTCTCTCTAATTAACGCTCGGATTGTCCACAAAAACGGGAGAATTTGGGAAGAAGAGGTGCGATTATTCGAGTCTTGGGGTTCGTTTTTATAGTTACGAATCGTCAATGACTATAAAAACGAGCTCGAGGAGGCTCGAACGATCGTATTCTCCTCTTCCAAAATTGTCCATTTTTAAGCACAATCCGAGCGTCGGTTAGGGAGACATGTGTTATATTGACATTGTGTTCCACACGATATCGTTCTTCTCTTCCAATATCCTTCCCGGACGACCTCCAATTCGCGCTTCTAATCGTCCAGAGCATAATCCATCGCGACAGTTATTAAAGGCCACCGCACAATCGTCGCGGACGTCGCGCAATTGCCGAAGAATCGCCTTGAAAGCCTTCATTATTACTTGAATTTTTCACGGGGGGGGGGACGTCCCGAAGGGGTTGAAATCGTCGAACCAGCTGTCGAAGTGGAAAGTCAGATAAGGAGGAAGACCGGGAGGACTGTGTAGACCGGGGTAGGGGGGCTGGTACCAGCGCGGAGGGTTGCGCCGGGCCGTGGGAAGGTAGAACAGGGCGTGGGTGGTAGGCGTTGAAGTGCGGAGGAAAATAACTCTGGCGTGAATAAATGATAGGAGCCGAAAAAAGTTCGCCCAACATCTCGGAGCCAGCGAGCTCCGGGCAGCGCAGCCTCGCCGGAGGATCCTCGGAGGTATCCTTTAATACTTTTTGTCCTTGCGGGGCCACCGCGTTCAACCCCCTTACGGCGGACCCTCCGGGCCGCTGTCAGGAGGCCGTCGGTGCCGAGGGTGCATGTTCCTCTTTCATTTTTTTCATCGTTTTTTCGCGAGCTGTTCCTTTTTTCTGCCGGGCAGCCTCTGGCTGCCGAGCACTTTAGATAATAAGGCCAGGACGCTCCGGGAACGGACGAAAGGGTAAATTGGGTATTCGTCCGAGGAATTATCTCTCTAATTTCTTTAACGTACCAGTCTCTCGCCTTCCTCTTATGTTCGTATATAGAATTTCCATCGTCGCGGATCGGGGGCTTCGACCGAACCCCATCAGCCACCGATTCTCTCTTTCTGTCTCTTTTTCTCTCGCCCCCCTCCCTCTCCCGCGGATGAAAGGATTCATCTACCCGATGGAAAAGATCAGAAGACGCCGAGGCCCTGTTAAATAATTTGCTGATACGCCCCCGCCCCCTTTAATCAGCCACGACTATCTCGCAGATAGCCCGGCGGTGTATCGCGTGGATTCTGTCGTCGATGACAGTCGAATTTTCCCGTGTATGCGTCGGCGAAGGAAGGATTAGGTTTGCCGACAGTGGGAAGGAATAAAAATTAATCGGCCCGGTCACCGCGGAATAAATTTATCCAAAATAATATTGCTAGAATAGAGCGAAATTAATCGGTCGGGATCCAAGTTTATCGAAATCGCATTTCCGATTCCTTACGAAGTCAAATCATTTTACGAAACTTCGAGCCATAACGGGGGATGGAATAAGAATGCCGGAAAGTAGAACAGACCCGAAATTCACCGGACAGGGTTAGAACGAAGCGAACGAAACCAACGATATAACCAACAAAGAATTTGGTAGACTCGTTTCGCGATTCGATTAATCGCGTTACGCGAGAGCAGCAACTTTTCTACGAATTCCGACGGATTAATCGTAGAATCCTTGGGCGAGAGGTACCACGGAAGACGGGGCCGATGCTAATAATAATAAACGATCGCCGATATAGAGGGGCCCGGCCGGTGTAATTCGTACAAATGATGGTTCACGGCCATCGGGCCGGCTAGGGTAGGAAAAGCTCGTACACATCGTAATGGCCCTAAAATTAGATCCCACCCTTGGCGCGGCTCCGAGTTCGACAAATTCGGTTAGGTCGATGAAAAATGAATCGCTGTTACCGTCGGGC